TAGTTACACAGTGACGTACATCACATAAGTCCGTGAAATTTCATAGGCCTACCGTAGGTAAACATAGAAAGAGCAATACACAATAATAGTAAAACTCGAGCGTCACGACATTGCGGAAGTGTCTGCTCTTGTTCCTCGTATCGTACTCACTCGAGTCAATCCGAGATGGCCCGAGTGAAGTTTCATGCAAATGTTTCGTACGGAAAAAAAAATCGCCGCCGGTAAACGTGCGCGTGCACGTGTGAACAAGATCTCATGAAAATTGAAAATGGTCTATCTCGCCATGACAACATAACATTTTTACTATGTCGACTTGTAGGGGCCCATTAATAAATAGACCTAAACATAATTTAAAATCATTTCCAACCTATATTCTCTAAAAAAAAAAAAAAAAAAAAAAAAGTTAAAGCGGCCAGCGGGCCCTCAAGGTTTTTATAAGAGAACTATAATTATCGAGTATCGATCCCAGTCGGCCCGACACTATTTTTTTTTTTCAAAATTCTATATATAAAAAAAGAAAGTACATTCAAGTTTAAGTGGAAAGTGCCTAGGAGGGGCTATTAAATCATAAATTTTAACTCAGCCCCAACCATGGTGGGGCTAAGGTGCCAGGTCTTCACCCTCCACCTGTGAAAAACCCCCCTCCTCGCCCCTCTATTTCGAATTCCCCGATTCGTCATTGCGATTGTTTAATTTTACGTGTCACCAATTTTCTTGATTTTAGAACAGCTGCTGAGACCGAATATGCCCCTCTCAAAATAGTTATAAATCGGATTATCATTATTGGGCCCAGTGGCGTAGAAAAGTATTTTTCATTGGGGGGATGATTGGCGTGTTAGTCAGTGGTGGGAAGACTGCCCCTCCCCTGACAGTTTTTGCCGGGCTGACCAAGCCGTCGTACCGGGCTGGGTAATAAGAGAAAAGAAAGAGGGGGGGGGGGCGGTTGAAGAGAAAGAAGTGGAAAAGGAAAAGAAAAGAAAAAGAGAAGAGAAAAATAAAGACAAGAATAAAAAGGAAGATATCATAATGATCAGACTCACAACACCCTGCAACCCCTTCTCCACTTCAAAAACTGTCATAAC